GAAGCCAGCATCAATCCAATATCTCTGATGAACTTAAATGCAAAAGTTTTTAATGAAGCTTTAGCAACTCAAGCCAACTATACACTTATAATATCAAGACAAAGCAGGGTTTGTCCCAGGAATAGAAGCTTGGCTTAGCATTTGAAGATCAGTCACTGCAATTCAACATCAGTGACCCAACTATATTAATGATTAACTATCAAGGAAAAATCCTGTGTCCATTTTGGTAGATAAATTTTGGCAATATCTGACATTTATTCCTGAATTTTTAAAAAAGCCAATAAGATGGCTCAGCATGGTTATAAAAATGCTTGCTATGCAAGCGACCTGACTTTGATCCCTGGAGCCCACAGTGGGAGGAGAGAACCAGGTTCCAGAAGTTGTCCTCTGACTTCTACATATGCACTGTGGTACGTGTGCTTTTGTGCTCCCATATGCAAATTCTCCTCTCTCTCTCTCTCTCTCTCTCTCTCTCTCTCTCTCTCTCACACACACACACACACACACATGCTTATTTCCAGTGTAACCAGAGAAGTAGCCATCTTACAGTTGATTCCTGCAGGATTTTGCTTTTTTGTGCTTTTGTAGAGTTTGAATGTTTTATAAGGAGATTGCATTTCTCTTAAAAGAAAAGAAACTGTGCCAGAAGAGATGGCTCAGCAGGTGAAGGCCCCTGCCACACAAACCTGATGACCTGAGTTTGATACCAAGAACCCATGGAAGGAGAGAATTGACTCGTGAAAATTATCCTCTGATCTCCACATGTGTGCCAAGGCATGGACTTGCCAATAATGTAATAATACTAATGACAATAATAAAAAATAAATGAAAACAAAACTCAAACCCCAACCAAAAGGCAGTCAAGAAGATGTGGCCTGTGGCTGAAGCAACAGTCTGCTTGGTCTTTGGAGACCGAGAGGAGCTGTTGTGGAAATGACACACAGAGCACACGGGGCACAGGGAACTGATTCTACCATGTTTTACTTGTCATGTTCTTGTCAAAGCTGTTGCTTTGACTGGACACACAGACCATGTTAGTACGTCGTAGTTAATACATGGAGTCATCTCAGAACATTTGACAGAAGTCTGAACTCCTTAATTCTGTGAAGGCAGTTTGGGTTCTCTAATTATGTGGTTGAGAAAAGGCAGATACTTGGGGCTGCCGCAGTGTTTGGGAATTAATCTTTAAAGCCTGACAATGAACATTCAATTCAATTAGGGAGAGTGATTGGCAAAGATTCCTCTCGCCTTTGCCCTTGGTAGAGCTGGGGCTGACTGGTCTGCATTGATTCTGCTGCTGCCGTCAGCAGAGTGCGTCAGCAGACAGCCATGTGGGCTTCACCTCCCCGGGGCCTGTCACGCCATGTGCCAGTTGTACTGTTTCCTTAGACTCAGGTCCATGCAGGATGTTCCTGCAAGAATGCCGTGCCGTGGCTGCTGCTTTTGGCCTAGGTGTCATGGAGCAACGGTTTCCTTTTGTCTGCTTTTGTTCATGGCTGCCTCCACCTGCTCCTCCTTTCTCTCTGTTCCTCGCCACTTTTTTCCATCTCTCTCTTCCATCTCTTCTACTTTTTCCTTTTTCTTCTCCCTCCTCACTAACCTCACAGCTTTATTTCAAATTATGAAATGTTTATGTTATACTCAGAAATACACAAAGTAACCTCGAAGACACCCACGTCCCCACCATTGAGACCGTCAGGCCCAGGGTCTCTGTTGGCTTGCAGGCTGCCCTCTGGCTTTTCTCCCTGTTGTTCTGGTTTCTTGTTCTACCCCTCCATTCTCAGTCTGTGAACACGGGAACCCAGGCGCCTGCCTCTCTGTTCTGCCTACCTTTGTTCTCTTGAAGAGCTGAGCCATGCATGACCCAGACACCATTTCTGGGGCAGGGACTCCCAGAGCTTGGCCCGCAGCTGGGTCCTCCTTTCTCCTGGTTGTGCCGTCCTGGATGGCACTTCCTTCACCCAGTGCTGAGCTCGGCCTTCTCGGTCTTCAACTTGCTTCTCCTAGAGCAGGCCATCCCCCTTATACTCAGGCCCCAAGCCTAAGGTTGTGGTCTCTCTTGCCCTCCTGTCCCAGCTTCATTGGGGGATTCCTGCTGCTTCTTCCTCTACTCTACAGCCCCCTCCTTTCTGTGTCTCTTCCTGCCCTGTCCGGTCTACGTCTCTGGGCACCCTGGCCTTGTGGCTGCTTGCTGGTGCCAGGTACACTCATACAGAGCTGTTTCTCACTCCTCAGGTCTTTTTTTTTTTGAGACTGGGTCTCCCTGTAGCCCCAGCTTTCCTGGAACTCACAGAGCTCTGCCTGCCTCTACCTCCCAAGTGCTGGGATTAAAGGCATGCACCACCACGCCCGGCTTAACCCCTCAGGTCTTCTAAGATAGGTCCAATCTGACCACGGTGGCCACTGTTTCAGCCCCTTGTCTTGACTCTACAACCCCCTTTTGTGCTGACCTTTGAGAATTTCAGGCTCTGTCACTACTTCACACACTCTAGATGCTGCTCTCAGCAGTCCCCAGAGTGGACACCCTCCCCAGGCTGCGGTCTTAATATAAATGCTTGAATATACAATATAACATTTTGCTTTGTGTGTGTCTTTAAAAATTGTTGAACGGCAGCACAGTTGTAACCAGCTTTAAGTGTGTCGTTGACACTGTTGCAGAGCCGTCGCTGCTGCCCACCTCCAGACCCCTCCCCTTGCCCTTCAGCCCCTGCCTCCCAGCTCCTGCACATGCTTGTGATGCTGACAGCTTGGTGCATGGTAAAGGGAAGCCATCAGGAGTCATCCTTTTGGGTGAGACCTGTTCCACTGTCATAATGTCCTCAAGCCCTCCATGTTGTAGCTGGTGTGATGATGGCCTTCCTTTGTGAGCCATGTTCTACTGTGTGCATGGACTGCATTTGCTTATCTACTCACCTCTCGCTGGGCATGTGGGCTGCTCCTCCCTCTAGCTCTGTAAATACTGCTGCTACACAGAATTTCCTTGAGACCCTGGCATCAGGCTTTTGGGTGTATACCAGAAAGTAGAACTTCTAGGTTATGTGGTAGCTATGTTAATTTTTTTTGGAACCACCAAGCTGTTTTCCATAATGGCTGCACTATCTTACATTCCCACCAACAGTGTACCCGGGTTCTGATTTCCTGCATCCATGCCAACATTTTCTATTTTCCTTCCCTCCCTCCCACCCTCCCTCCTTCCCTCCCTCTTTCCCTCCCTTTCTTGTAGTCAGCCTAATTGGTATGATGTTGTAGTTTGTGTCTTTAATGGTGTTTTTTTTTTTTTTTTCGGTCTTTCTGAGACAGGGTCTCCCTGTAGCCCCATCTGGCCTGGAACTCGCTATGTAGACCAGGCTGACCTTGAACTCACAGAGATCTACCTGCCTCTTCTCTGCCAAGCGCTGGGATTAAAGGTGTGTTCCATCATACCTGGAGTGTAGTTTGTGTCTTCTTCTTCTTCTTATTTTTTTAAATTTCATTTTATGTGTATGAGTGTATTGCCTGCATGTAAATGAGTGCACCCATGTCGTGCAATTCCGCGAAGGTCAGAAGAGGGCCTCGGATTCCCCTGGAATTGGAGTTAAGGACAGTTCGTAGCCACCATGTGGGTGCTGGGAATCGAACCCGGGTCCTCTGCAAGAGCAGTCAGTGCTCTTAACTGTTGAGCTGTCTCTCCAGCCCCTGTAGTTTGTGTCTTTAAAAGCACCATCATGCTTTGTAAATGCAGGTGTCTTTTGTACTCACCGTTAGCTTTTTACTGTTTAACGATGTGAGCCTGCAGAGCTTGCTCATTTGTGTTAATTTTTCTGTTACTATTGTACTTGAACATAGTTCTCTGCGCTCTGCTGCCCTTCCATTCACTCTCCACTTAGAAGTCTTCTGGCTGTCCCGTCTGTTATTTCTGTCTGTATTTTACATGTAACTACTGCTGTTCCTTGACTTTATTTTAGTTTGAGACCTAGCTATTAACCCCTGGTATGGAAGGAAGGAATGAAGCTTTCCTCACTTTCTGTGAAGGCCCTTTTGACCTCTTGTTTTCTGAAGCCTAGATGTTTACATATTCCTAGGAAAACTCTTTCAGAACTCTGGATCCACTGTGTTCTGAGAGCCTTCAGGACTTGTCAGGTGGAATTAGCTCATCTTTAATGGGAGTTGCCCCTAGGAGCAGGTTTGTGGACGTGCGTGGGCATGATCGTTTGAATTTTTCTCTTACTAAGGAAAATGAAGCACCCTTTTCCCTGAAAGTTATTCAGGGGATCTTGCTTTTTCAGAACCTCAGTCCCTGCAAGTCCCAAGGAGCACTCAGCAGCTCTGGCCCCCTTGCCGCATGCCTTGCACTACTTCCTCCTCTGTCCTCACTCCACTTCATAGAGGGAGAAACTGAGGCCCAGTGAGGTGGAGCCACTGGACTGTCATGTGACCAGCAAGTAGCAGTGTCAAAGGGAAGTGCTTCCTACTGAGGGCCTGTGCTGGAAGCACAGCCTCCCAGCTGCCTGCCTGCAGGGCTGTGCCTGGGCTTGTGACCCACTGCAAAGTCATTCAGTGTATTTCGGGGCCTTCTCCCAGAAGACTCATTCCCTCATGGGGAGCCAGGATGGGGCCTGGATGCACCTCTCTCCTAAAAAGAAGCATAGCTGCCCCTGTGTTTGCTCCTTGCATATCTGTGGCCAGCTCCTCTGTGGGTCTCAGTCTTAAAGCTATCCCTTGACTGTAACCTGACTGTATGCTCTGCCCCGTCTAGGACAGCTTCCCAGGACTGTGAGCACCTCTGTGGCTTGCAGGTAGGAGCAATTGGGTAGGTGAATAGAGACAGGAAATGCTGTTTTCTCAGCCCCAGAAAAAGGAAGCCTGCATGTTTCCTCAAGGAAAAGTGAGTCTAGATGTGATGTGAAATAATGGGAATCTGCTTCCATAGCGAGCCCCTTGCCCCGTGCAAGGCCGAGCTGACCTGGAGCTCAGGCCCTCATCACAGCATCTGGTGCTGCCTGTTTGTGTTTTCCTTGTAGGTGTGGAATGCTGTGGACTCAGGGCGTTGCTTGCAGACCTACGCCCTACACAGTGAGGCGGTGCGGGCTGCACGGTGGTCTCCTTGTGGCCAGCGGATCCTCAGCGGTGGCTTTGACTTTGCCCTGCACCTAACAGACCTCGAAACAGGTGCGTCCTGCTGTCCCACTGCCCCAGGCAGCTGGCAGCCTTCTTACTGGGAAGGCTCTTGGAAGGTCCTGACCACAGCCACTTGTGGTGTCAGGGTGTCGCAGGGGCCTCAGGACAAGCTCCTTTCACTGAGGAGTGTGCACATCATTTGCCAGTGGCACTGTGGCTGCCAACAAGGCACCAGAGCCTCTGCCAGTCAGCAGAGGACAGAGCCAAGGTTGTCTCAGCCCCATGCTGCAGGGCCGGATAAAGAGACAGCTTTTTAATCAACTTCTCATGTGTAATTGGGACTGAAATATCACTGTGTCCTTTGGTTGGAGTCAGTTTAGAATTCCTGTCAGCCCATGTGGTTGGGACTCAGTTCCCTAGGGAAATCTTCAGAGGGGCACCCGGGCAAGAAGCATTCATGTAGGTAGCTCCTCAGGGACCCTTGATCAGGTTTGGTAAAGGAGGGAGAAGCCAGCAAGAATTCTCCCACACAGCTTCTGTGCAGCAGCCTAGGGTGGCCCACCCAGCAACAGGACAGGCAGACCAGGGACTGTTGGAGCTGGGGTCCTACCTATACTGCCTGAGTTGGACCTAGCTTCCTTCCGTGTCCATGTGGCTTTCTGCTCTCTCCCTCCTTGGTCACTTTCCTGCTAGGCACAGTGTCAGGGCCAGGAGGAGGGGTCCATCACAAAGCCCCATGGTTTCACTGTAGCCAACTAACTAGCCTACCACACAGCTCAGCAGTGGCCCAGCTGGTCCCATGGTAGCAAGCTTAGGGGCATGTCTTTTCCAGGATCTAGAAGGATCTGGGTCCAACCTCTGCAGCCTTGGAAAGGAAGTACACAGGGGGCTTTCATTAGTAGTGGCCTTTGAGTCTGCTCCAATGTGTTTCTATGGGCCTCTGAAATGGCCTGCAGCTTCTTTGAGTTCCATACATTCTCAGGAGGGGAGTATGACATGACTGATGGTTAGGGTGTCCCTGCTAGGTGCCAGAGACCGTGCCTAGTCTTTTCAAGTGACATGTGGAACTCACTGTGGCTTCTGGAAGCAATGAGTTCCATTTTCCAGGTGAGGAAACAGGCTCAGGGTGAAGGAACTTTCTCTAGGCCTCACAGTTGCATGGCTGGCAGGGGTCAGGAGTCCTGGGTATACCTGAAAGCCTATGCCCTCCCCTGGTACCAGGTGCTGGCTCGCTCCTCTCATAGGTATGCCTCCAACTGGTCTTGCTAATCAAACCCTGTGAGGTCACTACTGCTCAGGGAGTTTGGTGCCACTTGGTGATGGTGGTGATGGGGCTGGTAATGGAGTGGCAGACTCCAATTGCTGTCTATGCTGTGCTGGGCATTGCCCACAGCCTTCCTCCTGGCTGGCTGATTTTAGGCCTCATCACTGTTGAAGACAGTGACCCTCAGAACCACCTTTTGTACACTGGTCAGGACCACCAGCACATCTGTGGTACACATGGATGCGCTGTCTGCTGGGCCACAAAGTCTGTCACCTGCCTGCTCGCTGCTGTCCACATGTCCTTAGGTATGCTGTGTATGTGAGACAGAGCTGACTATGGTCCCAGGGCCATGCTGGAGAATCATGAGGTGGTTAGAAACAGCCTCAGACCACAGCAGAGAAGATACAGGAACCTTAAGGAGGTGGGGTAGAAAATCAAGGAGGAATGCTGAGGGGGTGGCTTACTTGGGAGAGTGCTTGCCTAGCATGCACAAAGCCCTGAGCTTGCTCTCAAGACTGTATAAACTGGGTGAGGTGGGCTACACCTGTAATCTTAGCACTTAAGAGGCTGAGGCAGGACGTTCAAAAGGCCATCCTTGGCTACATAGTAAGTACAAGGCCAGCTTGAAATACATGAGCTCTTGCCTCAAAAAAAAATATATTGAAAAGAAGTAAAACCCAAGCTGAGCTAGGAGGCATGCAGACCAAGGGTTCGAGAAGACAAGCCATGTTTGGAGAAAGGAAACTGGTCCTCGGCAGGCAGAACCATGAGGCCAGAGCTTTGTAGGACAGGGTGACACATGAAAACCAGAGTGGGTCATAGGCGTGCATGAGGGCCCTGACATGTTTAGCTACTCAGAGGATCCTCTTGCCTGACACATCAGGGATTGTGGCACTGATGAGTCTGGAACAGCAGTGGATCTTGGTCCAGTCAGAACTTTGGGCAGGGGGTCCATGTGACATATGGCCAGTGGAAGGGTGGAAAAGGAGGGGCTGTTCCTGGCAGGTGTGGTGGAGCTTGTGACTGGAGGGCAGTGTGCTGGCCGAGCCCTCTGGTCTGCTCGGTGGGTAGTGAGAGGTACGGCCTTACCTGTGGGAGCTGCTGTCCAATAGGGAGGGACGGAAGGTACTTCATGCCACTCTACTGGGAATAGTGGCTGCATAGGGCTCATCTGTTGAAGGTCCACTTTCATCCCCTTCCTTTATTACTTATAATACCCCTACTGTGTGCAGGGTCTGTGCTGGGGCATGCTGTACATCTCCAGGGAGGGTACAGTTGAAGGGTTTGGGTCTCAGCCTTGGGGAAGGCCTCTGCCCTTAGATGAGGCCTCTCGTGCTAAGGGTGGCTGGCAGTTTTTGTCCATATCCTGGGGTGGGTGTGGGAGCTTCTTGAAGATGGGCCTATTTTGGTGGTCTCTCTGTCAGCTGACTGGGACTGGCTCACGTGTGTAGACGGCCAGCTGAGGCTGGCCCTTGCTATCCCCTCCTGTCCTGGGCAGTGAAGCTCCTGGGGGCTGCTGGGGTGGTTGTCTTTACATCTGCACCCCACCCCCTGCCCCATCTTGTGTTTTGCTGTGTTCCCTTAACTGAGGCTGGGGTGCACTTGTTACCCTGTGCCCTTTGTCCTGCTTTGACTTTCTCTTCCCAAGTCTGATCTTCCATTCCTTCATCTGCCTCTTTCGTCCATGGTGATTTGGCTTTTTCATTTCAATCTAATTAGAGCTCCCTGCCAGGAGAAGGCAGCGCAGAGCATTCTCACCGCAGCACTTTGGGAATTAGTCACTTGGTGCCCATTGTCGTTAATGGGAATTTGGCGCCAAGGCCATTTATCCTGGTGTCCTCAATCAATACAGTTAAAAATCTGTGGATTCTAAAATGTCAATACCCGGCCTGAAATATGGAGGACCAGCACCATTTTATCTCGTTAATTTATAGTTCTGACGGGCTGTTGGCTTACGGAACAACCATGAATCAACAGTTAATCAAATCTGCTCACAGATTAATTATTTTTGGCGCTCCTGTTTCCGTCTGCAATCTCCCTAACAAACGTCTCTGCAGCATTAGGCACAGGCGGCCTCAGGGAACACTGGCACATGCCACCGTGGTCCCAAGTGTCATTGGTTTTGTGTGTGACCTATCCTGCATACTAATCAGCCAGTCAGTCCCCCCTCAGAATCCCCAGGAGCTTGCTCTTTGATCTGAGTGCTCTTTGATTCCAGCCCCCCACCCCCAGTCACCCTCCTCTGTAGTGGCGGGTGGCTGCCTCCTCCTGGTGGTGGGATGGCATGTTCCCTCTACTTGAGGTCTGGGGTGGGTGTGTAGACCCCAGCCTTCTGCAGAACTCCAGGTGCTTATGGCTGGGGATGTCTGCCCTCCTCTTTGGGATGCCCACTGCCCTGACTGCCTCTTCCTGCTCATGGTGTCCCTGTGTCTTTTGTTGGGGTTATGGTGGGGTCATGGTGGGTGGGAACAACTGACCGGCTGGGACTGTTCCCTAAATGACCACTCCTTTTCTAACAAATATCTTCAGCCCCATGTGACTAGGCTGTGTCACAGCGATGCCGTAAAGAGAGAGAGGGAGTGGCTTGCTGTCAAAGCCCTTTCTGTAGCCCTGTGTCCCACATGCTACCACACCAGCATCAAGCTGATAGGGACAAAGAGATTAGGCCTTTTGCTTAGGTGACATGTTTAGTCCCCCACTGACCTGTGAAGGCAGCATCTCTATCCCTATTTCTTTGATGCAGAAACTGAAGCTTTTTGTGTTTTGGTGACTTTCTTGAAGTCACCCACTCAGTGATGCCAGTTGTATCCAGCTTGGTCCTGTGGGACACAGAGGTGTCTGCAGATACATGGACTGCCAGGCCCTCTTCATGCCTCTCCCTGCTCTGGACAAACTGTCTTGACCTGACTTCTGGTGGGTTGCTTGGCTGTCCCCTAGCAATCAGTGGCTTACCACCTGCAGACAAACGGGCCTCGGGAAGATGGCATGCCCGACTGGTCTCGACTGATGCCCCTGGAGAAGTGACTGGTTGAAGGGTGCTCCAGCAGAAGTGCTAGCCCTGCGGCTTTGGAGCACTTGGTGCAGGAAGAGTGGGAAGCGTTCGAGTGAAGACTGGCGAAGAGTACTGGGGGCTCTTGGGGCTTTGGAGGAGAGGTCGTAGAAGGAGGCTCTGCATCAGGCTAAGCCTTTGAAGTGGCACCAGCTCCCACTGGTGCTTGAAGGAAGTGCTGTGCTGGGGCTGGGGCCTCTGTCCTTGGGTTTTCAAGCTCTGTGACTAACTTGTTTCTCTAGCGTACCCCAGAAGGCACTGCTTAGGGCCCTTCAGTGCCCTGGAAGGAAACTGTGCTGGCTGTACCACAGGCCTCAGCGGGTGGGCATGCTTTCAGAGATTGGCACTCTTGCCTATTTGCTGCTTTAGACCCAGTGATATCTGCTGCTTGATCCAAGGGGAACCCTGCAGGCTCTGCAGCCCAGTAGGGTCTGAGCTGAGGATGGTCCCTGGCCACTGTCCTTCAGGTATCCCCTTGCCCAAGTGAACAGTTGCCCACTCAGCCCCTTTGTCACTCATGCCACAGGACCCTTCCTATCCCTCCATCTGTGTCTCTGTCGTCTGTAACTTCCTCTCCTGGAAGCTCCCTGAGCATCCTCTTATTTGACTCTGCTCTGGGAAGGGTCTGTCTGCAACTCCACAAACCTGTCTCATCCTCAGCTGGAAGGCTCATGCCAGCCCTCCTCATGAGGAAGGTGGCACCTGGGACTCAGCATGACTTTATTCATTGCCATGGTC